GCCCTCGTTAAAAAGGCCTTGTGCCACATGACAGCCACGTGGGGTGGTGACTGAATATCGTCAGTCGTTCATCTCTGAACCGACTCTTCGGTTAAACTCTCTTCCTACGGGCGGGAGGAACCCAAAGGAGGCTACGACGAAGGGCGATTCTCCTTCTGGGTGGTAAAACCGGCCCAGAACCCGTTTATACGTGTTTAAATGGGTTATTTTTTGGCCGAGCCTAATGGATCGAGAATGCCCATGTTAAAAAGGCCTTGTGCCACATGACACCCTCGTGGGGGCGTGACTGAATATTGTCAGTCACTTAACTCTTGAGCAACTGTTCGGTTCACCTCTCTGTTATTGATTGAAAATTGAGGGAGTTTTTACTTTAAAATTTGTAGTGAAATCGAGTTGTGTTGAAATCGATTTTTGTTTTTCGCTGTGTGGCGTAGAAATAACAATGTTGTCTTGTTGAGTCCGTCAAAATGTAAGTAATCTACATGTTGAATCCGAATGAAATCTGAAGACAAAGTTGAATTCAACGATTTTTGATTGTCATTATCGATTATGGGTCTTTTTTTAACTTTTTTTACGCTAACAAAATCGCTCAAATTAATCATATTTCCTGATGAAGTAGGAGCCGGATGATGAAAGTTATTGCTCCTCATTCAAATTACCTATTACAAAAATAATCTTCAGCGATACATTCAATTTCGCATGAAACGTACTATTCACAAGATCATTCCTAAATTTTAGCAGTGTAATGGATATTGCCAAAATAAATTTTTCATATGTGAATTAGTTTTTACTCAACTGAGAAAACAATAATGAAAAATAAGCGTGAGAGATCCTTGTAAAAATTGTTATCAGAGAGGGTAGTATGTTGCATTTCTTTTGTATAAATATCTACTGTAAAAATGTTTATGAAATTACGTATTAACATTAAACTAATGATGAGTGGTAACATTTCGTTTGAAAGTTTGGTAAAAAGAACAAACTGCAAAGTTAAATAACCTTTTTTTCTCCTGTAATTCATCTATGTTACTTGATCTTCGATAAGTTCCAGTTTATTCTTCCTGTGCCAAAGTGTATCGCTTGTTATTTATTAGGTAGCAATAGTCAACCTGCTAGTGAATTTACTCGAAGAAATTGTTGAACATCAATCTATATCTAGTTATCGATAATGGAAAAAAGAAAATATGCGCTTGTGGTGAAATAGAAAAATGTGACAATCATAGATTACACTCAACCTGTTCTAGCTATTGAATCATTGATTCGAATTACATTTTCGTGGAGATCAACAAATGGAAAAATACCATATTAACCAATCCTCAGTTAATCACATTTCTTTTCTAAGTTCGCCAATTCAGCGGGGTCTGAAGTTCTGTCAATGGATCTGTAAACGTGCAACACACCTGGCACAGTTTCCAGAAGCTGTCTCTTAAAGGTTGCCACTGTGATGTTTTTTGGGGAAAGAATTGCTGGGTCAGTAAGCCACTCAATATTTTTGTAGTTGGTTTGAAGATCAGGAAAAACTGATTCCCTGAGTGTAGCTGGCGTTTTGACCTTTGTGGACAAACCTTAACATTTACAAATCCATTAGTGTCCGCTGGAATAATACCTTTGCCAAGAGTTAATAATGAATTTGAAAATTCGGTGGACCCAACATCGCCAGTAAGGTGTGCACGCATGTTGGTGGTAATGTGCAATGATCTAACTGGGTTAAAGTTGTGATGATTTCAAGCACGCTCAAATAGCGACGGCCCTTTTCCCCTTAGGTACAGCGGGGAGGGTCTGGCAAAAGTCACCGGATAGAAGGACACTTATAACTCCCATAAGGTCATCGGGGTTTCAAATATCCTTCAGAGAGTGGTTTACAGCCTCGAGAGCAGTTTTGGGAATGACAGACCACTCATCCCAGACGATGAGCTCATATCACCTGAGTACTTCCGCTTGACCTGATTGCTTGGCTATACTGCCTACAGCTGTTTCAGCCTTAATCAGATCAAGCGGAAGTTGAAACGTTGAGTGCACTGTTCGGCCACCCGGTAGTAATGTGGCAGAAATGCCTGAAGACGCTACTACTAGCGCCACTTCGCCATGGCGCCGAATTTCTGCAAGAAGCAGTTTTGTTACGAATGATTTTTCCCGTTCCCCCTGGCGCATCCAGGAAGAAAATTGATCATGTTCCCTGCCTGGTGGATGCAAGAACCGCATCGTAAGCGGCCCATTGGTCTATGAGAAGTTTTGGCTCATGTGTTGTGACATAAGTGTTGAGTTCCTCAACAGTGTATGATGTCTCCCGCACATTCTTAGGAGAGAGACTGGAGAAGCCACACCATCTGTCGTTTGAAGCAAAATAACGGCGAGAGATTTCCTCCCAATTCAACAAACAGGTTCTCAATGATTACAAACGCCTTGTTGTAAACTTCATCGTTGAATGTAAGAGCCATTTTTGGACACAGCAGTTGCGCTTCTCTGAGTATTACTTCGGACAAAACGTCCTTGTATTTGTCTCAAAATGATTTGGGATCACTGAATTCGCACAATTTGTTGTGAAGAGGTTCGGAAAGCAGAGGGCATTTTTAAAAGAGATACCTCAGCCATTGTGACATCACACTGGCTGCCGTCTTCTAAATGGCCGATACGGAGGGAGGCCTCGCGAAAAGTGTCACATAAAACTCCATTAACTGCCGTAAGTTATTGTAGCTCGTTGGACCACTAACTTCGTGAAAAAAAAAGTCACAAGTAAAAGCATTTCTGTCTCGATGGGGGAACCGTGAATACTCTTCCGAGTGTGGCGTCTTTTTTGACGCCTGGATAGACCTCGACGTCGGCCCCGCACTTCCGTCGAGCCCAGGTGTGCTTTTTTGTCCACACGTAGTATGAAAGCATGTCTGGGTACAGTAGAGTCCTAGCAAACTCTTTCGTCGTTTTCTAGGTGCCCAGCAAGCTGGACGATTCCTGGGAAGCGTTCGTGGATGGGGAAGCTGAATATGTGCCAAGGGCCCTCCGTGCTGCTAATGATGCGCCCTGCAAGAAGTCCTGGATTTCGTCTACGGAACCTTCCTGCCTAATACCAAACATTGCAGCATCAGACTTTTTGTTGATGTACTTGCATACATACTTGATGGAGCGAACTGTATGGCAATATTTGACACTGATGTGCGCATTGAACGCTTTTGTAAGCAGGAGAAAGCATGGCACTACCCATCTGTTATCCACGGCTGTAAATCCTCCCTCAGCTGGACCTCTTCGCCGGTACATTGGATAACCATCGTTCCCTGTAATGTTTCCGCTCACGAAATCTCGTGGATACTGCCTGGTGCATTTGCCGTCGCTGTTGTGACAGCTGGTTTAATTGTAATGAGAACCGCAGGGACCATGAATCATCTTGCTTGTCACTATTTCATACAATTCCGGGACAGCCGACGGATTAGGAATTTCAGAAGAAATAAGATGATCGATTTCTGTGGCCTCAATCTTGTCGCACAGCCAAATTAGTATATGCGCGTGAGACAGTCCGCGTTTCTGCCACTCAATCGTGTGCATGCGACAGCAATTGCCCTGACATAAGTTCTTTAGCAATTGCGTACATTTTTGGGTTACACGTGGAAGTTCTGAATAGGTCTGGTCGGCCGGATATACGAACATATATCATCGTGTCTTGCGTTCTCGCATTCATGTACCGTGGACTGCCTGTGAACGTTGCAGGTAGTATGCATATTTTGCCTATATTGCGTGGATCAGCGTCATTTCATAAACCATCGCGAAGGTGAATGTAAGAGTCGCAGCGCAACTTAGTCTGATTAAATCTGATATAACATAGTCTTTCGGATTCCATCAGTCATGCCTTCAATGAATTGATGGAAAATTTGCCGGCTTCGATGAAGATGATTGAATGCACCCTCATGTACCATCAATAGGTAGGCGTAGAAAGCCCTGCAAGACACTGTTTTTAAGGTTGATCCATTTTGCAGAATGCCAGAGTAGTAACCATCTTCTCTGTAAGGGAAGAGAAGTGGGTATTGCAGTGCATCGTGGGACCGGTGCGTTTCCTTGATTCTTCGGAGCCAACTGCCGCGCGTTTCGATAACAATGTTACGTCTTTTGTGCTGATTACCGCTGACAATGACGGAAACTTCGGTACTTGCGGCATCATTGTAGCGACGTTCGTACTCTCCCTGGGGCCGTTTGTCAGCATCAATTAAAAAACGAAATCAGAAGAAGTGTTATTTTCGACAGCATACTCAAAATTGCGGACATACATGTTTGTCTCGTGGAGCGTTTTTTGGAGACTCATTATGATATCCCTGCGAGGATGATTGTCCAGGCCTCTACCGTTCTAGGGAATAATGCCCATGCGAGCATCTGCCTGTGGATTGTAGTCAGCTATGAAGTATATTTTGTAGAATGGCCGAATCAGTGGCAGTTTCCGGCAAAATTGATCCAATCCGGTAGTAAACCTGACATTGAAACTTGATGTTGGGATTCCAACCGACTTCGAGGAAGATATTACCACCAAAATAGGCCATCTGTAAGGCACAATTGTACTGTCTGATTTTTGCGAGGAAATGTTCGGAGTCTGGACTAGAACCCTCTATCAGAGCTATCAACGGAGCATGTAGCTCTTGAAAAGGTAGCAACTGTGACTTACCGTCTGAACAACACAATCCTGCAAACTCTCCAGGCCATTTTTTGGCATTGCTATGCTCACAGAAAACTAACATGGGTCCTATTTGAAGGTCTTTGCGACCGGAAAGCCTCAAAAATGGCTCATAGTTGAACGCCAGGTTAAACCAAAGCTGCTTTGGTGGGATACAGAACCCTCGCTGTGTATGGCTTCGCTGGTTAACAGTCTGCAACCTTTCTAGCCTTTCAGTAGGTTATTCTACCGCTCTAACAGTGGAAGTTGAAATTGCATCGCGTTGCTGCCTTGTGCGCTTTTGCGAGGAACTTTCCGAAGCCCTTCCAGCTGAAGTTGCAGAGGCGTCGGCTTCATATCGTGCATATCTCAGTCATGGATTCCTGGGACCATCGAATAGACGTTGCCGCATCTTTCGCTGCGTTACGTGCGGTTTTTTCAGCCGTGGTCTCCAGGGACCGTCGAATGGAAGTTGCATGGTCGTCGGCTGCATTGCGAGTAGCTTATCGATGGTATTTTGGTACACTTTGCAATCCGTGGCGATGAACGACCCGGCACTCAGAAAGATTGTAAAGCAGAGGTTGAAGTAGACGCCAGCCGCTTCTCCCCCCAAGGAGGTGCAACTAATGGAATCCTGCTCCGGTTTTTCCTTAATCTGGTGAGGCTTTTTTAGAACGCCTGCTAAGGTTGCCTCGCCTGGGTGTTTTGCAGCATTTGCAGAGACGCCGGGTTGGTCATCGCCGCGGCACACAGAAAAGTGCAAAGCAGAGTTTGAAGTAGACGCTATATCATGATCTGTAATCGGGGTTATTATGTGCTCCTCCGCAGTCGCCTGTTCTGCATGTGTAACATTAACCGTTTTATGGGACGTGACTTGCTGACGTGCGGATGTTTATCGTGTTGGAGCCATTTGAAGAGTTGTAGAAATGATGTGTAAGAATGCGAATAGAAGACGATGTCGAAGCTGAAGCGGTGCAACGTTGTTGCATACGAAACTAAAAATGCAGAGGAGCGGTATGGAAATAGCTTCTACTAGCTATGGGCCGTGCTTTCAGGCAACACGATAACGTCGCTGTAGGAAGAGGTTATGAAACCAAAACGTTGAAGCGTTGAAGTTTTAAAAGTAATGAAACACTGAGCAAGCTTGTGTCATGTCCCCTGTCATTTTTTGCTTTTTTCTCCTCGGTGATGCTGAAATATGCATTTGCAGACACAGGGAGGGCGTCAACTTTCTGTTTCGAAAGACTTGTGGTCCCTTCAATCATCAGTGCTTCAAAGGCAAGACCTACTTTCGTACGCATGTTATTCGTGATTTGTTGTTTGATGATGATGCGGCTCTTGTAGCGACATCCTTTGAGGAGGCCCAACATCTAATAAATCGTTTCTCTGCTGCATGTAATGCATTTGGTCTTACACTCAGCATAAAGAAATCTGAACTTGTGCATCAACTTGTACCACCCCGAAGCAATTGCATGGTGAGAAACAAAAAACACTAGCCTACAAATTTCCAGAGAGAACATTGAAAGTAGAAGACAAACCCCTAAACTATGTAAAGTCTTTCACCTATCTTGGTAGCAAAGTCAATTACAGTGGAACTTTAGATGATGAAATCATACATCAGATTGCTAAGGCTACCAGTGCTTTTCGGCAAACTTCGTCATCGCTTGTGGAATGAGCTGGGTATTCGAGTGGAAAAGAAAATTCGGGTTTACAGAGTTGTTGTACTTGCCATCCTTTTGTATGGCTCAGAGTCGTGGACTTCATACAGGTACCATATACGCCAGCTAGATGTTTTCCATAAGAGCTGTCAGCGTGCAATCTGTAGAGTTAAGTTTCAAGATAGGTCATCTAACGTAGACCTGTTGAACAGGTGTAATATTGGAGGAACCGAGACTTTTATCATACAGTCTCAGTTGTGGTGGACAGGTCATGTCTTGATAATGTCTGATGACAGTATACTTAAGATCCTAATGTACAGCCAGTTAGATCAGGGCTACAGGAATGTAGGATGCCCATGGCTAAGATACAAAGATAAGTTGAAAAGCAACTTGTCAGCAGTCAATATACCACAAAACATCCTTGAACGCTTAGCTTTGGAGCGGGTAGAATGGAGACCAACGTGGTTTAGTAGACTCAGCAATTTTCAATTTGCTTGTTTGAATCATCTTCAACAAGCGAGAGCAAGATCTAAAAGGTCAGTCAATCTAACAGCGATCTCATCTCACAATCATCACACTTGTTCCATTTGTCACCTCCTTTGCAAATCACTAGCGGGTCTTAAATGTCACTTAAATTATCACACAAACTTTCATAACTGAATCAATAAGCTGTCAGATCCTGATACGTCGAAACCGACGGGAGAGTCCATTATATATATATATATATATATATATATATATGAGGTCTTATCTGGGGTTGGATTCTCTTGGATTTCCCCGATGTCTTGAAATCTTGCTGGTTTCAAGTGATATTCTATTTTAGAAGAAGATAAATTCGCATGGGGCGAAATCTGGGGACTATTCTGATTTTCGGAACTGAAGAATTTTGTGCTTGCCAAAAACTTCGGCATCATACAGGATCACTTATGTTACTTCTGTAGTGTAGTCAGATCGCTATATACTACACACATTCCTTACTGACACTGCAATAAACAATGGTAATGGGCAAGAACATTATAAGAGTGTGTATGCGCGACATTGTGCAAGGTCAATCTGTGCCGATCTCCTTTACTATAATAGCAATCGCAATACTTTTTGTTCAGACCATGCATATATATATATATATATATATATGTGTGTGTGTGTGTGTGTGTGTGTGTGTGTGTGTGTGTCTGTGTGTGCGTGCGTATATACCGCTTATTCAATTCAATGCGTGACTAAGGATTTTATTAATACCTTGTACCTCTCCTAAAACTTTTGTGAACATTATATTTATTAATATTCATACTGGTGCACAAAATTATACTGGGATCAAAATATTGTTTTATAGAATATTTGATCAAATTCATTATCTGCTCTGGTAATCTAATAATTTAAATCATCATAGGAAAACTTACCAGCATTTTTTATTGGCTGACAATATCTTAAGAATATATAGATATGGAGTTGGCACAATATTTACAGCAGACTCGTAATTGAGACTACAGGATCTCCTACAGATGAAAAATGATAAATAAATACCCGTAAGAAGATAGAAATTACGATGTATGACAAAAGAACAAATCAAGTTGCGAATTACAAATTGGAGACACAAATCCATTAGTGTCCGCTGGAATAATACCTTCGCCAAGTAATAATGAATTCGAAAATTCGGCGGACCCAACATCGCCAGTTAGGTGTGCACGCATGTTGGTGGTAAGGTGCAATGGTCTAAGAGTGGGCCAAAGTTGTGACGTTTTCAAGCACGCTCGAATAGCGTCGGCGCTTGTCCCCTTAGGTACAACGGGGTGGGTCTGGCGAAAGTCACCGGATAGAAGGACAGTTATAACTCCCATAAGGTCATCGGAGTTTCGAATATCCTTCAGAGAGCGGTTGACAGCTTCGTGTGCAGTTTTGGGACTGACAGTGCACTCATCCCAGACGATGAACTTATATCGCTAGACCTGATTGCTTGGCTATACTGCCTACAGCTGTTTCAGCCTTAATCAGGTCATGCTGAAGGTTAAACTCGGTAGTAATGTGGTAGCAATGTCTGAAGACGCTACTGCTAACGCCACTTCGCCATGGCGCCGAATTTCTGCAAGAAGCAGTTTTGATACAAACGTTTTTCCCGTTCCCCCAGGCGCGTCCGGGAAGAAAATTGATCGTGTATCCTGTCTGGTGGATGCAAGAAGCGCATCGTAAATGGCCCTTTGGTCTATCAGAAGTTTTAGCTCATTTGTTGTGACATAGGCGTTGAGCTCCGCAACAATCTCATGTGAGAGACTAGAGGAAGCCACACGATCTGGCGTTGGAAGCCCAATAGCGGCGAAAGAACCCCCCCATTCAACAAACATGCTCTCAATGATTATAAGCGCCCTGTTGTAAATTTCATCGTTGAATATAAGAGCCATTGTTGTACACAACAATTGCGCTTCTCTGAGTACTTGCCCTTGCTGTTTTTCTTTTTCGAGAACGGCTTGTTCTTGATTGCGATGCCTTCATACCAAAGGCGTTCCATTTACAAATAATTGGTTGCGCGGTGCAGAAGTGCACACCAGAGGGGATTACATTTTCAACTATGATATTTTTAAATGTTCAAGTAGTTCTTTAGATCTTTTCATCTATATCGTTTCCAAAATTTAGTCTCTGAAAATACACTTTTGCAAAAAAAAATGTTATATTGTTTGAGTGCAGAATACACAGTTTCCCCGCAAAAATGAATACATGTCATTTTGAATTTTACCCCAAAAATGTATTTGCACTTGCAACTATGTAAAACAAAAATAAAGGGTGTAAAGTTTCACTTAATTTTTCCCATCTTAATTTTTAATGAATATTTCTATTGTAGCTTGATAAAGATCTCTTGAAACAGTAGTAATTCCTTTGAGAAAGGCTTTTTCTTTACGAATATATAATTTAATTAACTTTTGTTGATTGTCTTGGGGAAAAATAATTAATTTAAATATTATTTTAGGGCTTCAGTTACATTGCTATATGATTTTTTTCAATATTTTCGTTTTGTGTGTGATTAGCAGTATAATGTTATTATAATCCCTTATGCTACTTAGTAATAAGCTGTCTGATGTAATGCTGGTCCAGTATGGAGCAGGTTACTCACCGGAAGAATATGGTTGTTTTATATTCTATCTAAGATATTTTGTGTTATTTTTTATTTACAGTTATATTACCCGGCGTCTAATATAAGAGGGTGGAAATTTAATGATATATTATTTTTAATAACTATGTCGCTAGTTCTTAATTTCTGCAGTAAATAATGAATCTATATTTAATCGACTGGTTTTATATATCTATGCATTAATTTTGTATTACTGTTTTGTCTTTATAACTGTGGTGCATTTGATTTTGATAATAAATGTTAATCGCTTTATTGACAATAATATTTTTATAATTATGTTTTTTATTGTTTAAATTATTGTTGTTGAAATGCAATTTGATTTTCCTATCGATTCTATAGTTAGGGTAAATATTACTTGATTCAAAATATATTTTTTCCGATATTAAACGAATTCTGATTTTGTACTCTAATATCACTCCTCTAAAACTAAGAATGTAATTCATTTGTGAAGCATATTACACGGTTCACAATATAGTATCAACGAGGTTATTGCTAAAAATCGAAGAGATATTTTTCAATTGATTTTAACGCTTTTATATAGCACAATTTCTTCTTGCTTATACCCATCGATAATTAACATATATTCTATTATTCCCCGAAGATAACGTAGGTTCAGCTGCTATTTTAAATGTTTGAAAAGTGAGAGAATTTCTTCTCACACGGTTTAACCCCGGCAGAGACAAGAAAAGACATACAATTCAAACAAAGCCTACCTTAAAATTCAATACAAATTTTATTTCGTCTTTGCAAAAAAGATTATGCTCTTTTGCGCCCCTGTTAATAGGATGGGGTAGTTACTTCAAAGAAGTTGTAGTATTTTTCTTCTCTGTAGGACTCAACTGGTCTCTATGCAGATTCGAAGAAGCAGGAACTTGATGGTCGTCGAACAGTAGCATTACCAATTTGGTTGCTGAAATAAAAACTCGGCTATTTGTCGAGACCATGCAGAAAGGTTCTTCATGTAAAAGCACATAATGCGACGACAGTCAATAAACCGACTGAATTATTCAGCCTTAAAAAAGTCTCTAGAATAAGAAGAATAATTTCCTAGTCATTTAGGCTTAATTTTGGGCGCTAAAGGCCCTGCAATGTGAAAGAAATATGAGTGCTGTCATCTCGAAGATTTTGCAGCAACTGAAAAAAAGGCACGGGCAGTTGAAAATGCCCGCGAAAGCGAAGGAAAATTCAACCAAAGAGCTTGGTCGGTAGAGAAATACGGTGTGGCATAAATTAGCCAATAGGAGCTTAGCTTTAATTGCAGAATTTCTCACAAAAGAGTGGAGAATACATATATTTGATGTAATGAGCCTGTACTTTTTCGGTTGAAATTTATAAAATCTTCCTCTTACAACAATTAAGGTATGTAGGTTTCTCAAGTCCAGTCGCTCTTATCGCAGTTTCCATTACAAATAGTTGTTTCCTTCATAACCATTATTTGAAATTCTGTAGAATGTCAACATCTTGTTTAAGTCATTAAGTGAGCTTCGAGTTACATGTGCTCTTCATTTTAGATGTTGCTGCTATGGGTTTCTGATATTTGCTACAGTTCATTGTTTTTTCAATCTGTAGCACTTGTCCCTACTGTTCAATGAAGGATATTCTTTGTCCAGGCTCTCATACGTCATATGCTCAAAACTATTTTTAAGCGTGGATCTTAGCAAACAATTAAAAGGCAATTTCACCTGTCTTGTAAATAAGACAAATCTATTTTTTCTGTAATGATATTAATTCATTGTACTTAACGTTCATAAACATATATTGTATTCTGTAACAAATCGCAATATTGCCATCACATTTACTTGAAAGTTTGATTTTAACGAGACGACGACTATAATATAGAAATTTTCACTGATAAGCCATTAAAATCACATCTCGCTCTTTATATTGAAACATTTTACCTTCAAGATATTCTGCTAAGTATTTCGCTTCCATTTCACTAAAATAAAATCCTAGTTATAATTTTGTAGAAGAATAGCTTGCCGAGAGAAATAAACATGTTTATTTGTAACATATTCACATGTGAAATTAAGGCTTATTCATGTATTCTTCAATATCATGCTATTTTACAGTTTGTTCATATATTTTGGTTACATTTAGAAGACAACTGATAATTAGGTGGTTAAATAAAATAACCAGTCAATATTCTCTATATTTTATATTCAGTTTTTCAGCAAAAAAAAAATTGTGTACTTGATAATTTCTTCCCATCTCAGCATATATTTATATGAACAACAACGTGTAGTGAAAGTCTTTTTAATGCATAAACGCAATCTTCATACAGGAAGATTTCACAGACACCCACGCGCATACGAACACACGCACATACGAACGCACACGCACACACACATCATACATATATATATATATATATATATATAAATATACATATATATATATATGTATAAAGGAAGGTATATTCTTATTTATTATTCCGACAAGCTTTTTTTACTTACCATTTTCAGAAAACGTTCCGTTTATTTATTAAAGAGTACATTTATTTATTTTGATTTACTGTTTTGAATATTGATAAGATCTTATTAGATCAGATTTAATCATGTTTTCCCCTACAGGTAACGCAACTTCAAATCCTGCCTGAAAACGAAAATTTTCTTTAATACGCTTTTTTGATATTGTTGCCGGTCGAGGAAAATAAGTAAATTTATTGTTTAATAAATAATTTTCCTTAATCGCCGGATTTTTTTCTCTCTCTGTATTTTAAAGGTCTCGGTGTATGCTTCGGCGTTTACTGTTTCTCCTCTTGGCAAGAAATCGACGAGAATAACAACGTCCTCATCAGTAATGTGAGTCGGTATGATCTTATCCATCTGACCTTTCTCCTTTAAATTGTTCCCTGTTTGGTGACGTCAACACACATCATACTTTTTCCTTTTCATTCTGGTTCATAATGCTGAATCAAATGTTCATCGCAAGTTACGGCTCTTTGACAGCAGAAGATATTGTCTCTTTCATTGGCATCAAGAATTTCAGTGCAACAATTAAGCCTTTGTGCCTGTTCTCATCTGTCAATTGCCTTAGTACCCAGCACACACTGTTTAATATCAATGTGAGACAACTTTAGGGAAGAGTAACATGGCTAACTTCAAGCTCTGATCAAATTTTATACGCCTATAATTTCTGATAAAAGCATCTATAATTTCCATGTTGACAGAAGTTGAAGGAAGGCCAGTACGTGGTATGTTTGATAACGTTGCATTTTCCGATTCGTTCTGGTTTGAGGGTGTGACGGTCGGTCTATCCCCACACATTAATATAATCTAAAAGTTTATTTTTTTCTGTTTTTTTTTATCTTTTCAGCTTTTTTCTGTATGTATACATACATAAGTCCTTCAGAAACAAAGAAATTGATTGCTACTAGTTGCATTTGGAGGCTTTTCAGCGAGACGGCCATTGTCATATCAGATCATTTACTGATATATCTGAAAAAAGATACTTCAAGTTCAAGTGTATACGCCTATATCGGTATCAAATAACGAATACTTCCATTGTACATTGCTCCCTCGAATATATATATATATATATATATATATATATATATATATATAAGATATATATATATATATATATATATATATATATATATATATATATATATATATATATATATATACCACAGCAATTTGCAAGTCGTTTACAAAGAAATTTGCATAACAAAGGGATTGCTGCTTAAATATTATACACACAAACACACACTTATAT